CGGATGACTTGTGAAGAATTGAATCTATCAAGCTGAGACGTTGCGAGAGTGATATCAGGCCTTGTGCTATTTGAAGCATAGCCTAGACTTCCAATAGCGCTGGCGTATGCTGATTCATCGGCTAATTCCTCTTCATCGTTTCCAGGCAAAATTCCATCATAGCAATCCATCGGTGAGGTACATGCTTGGGCATTTTCGAGTCTAAAAGATTTAACTTTCCCTATCAGGTAGTCTGCTTGAGAGATCTTTAAAGTCCGAGTTTTCCTATCCCGAGTAATTTTCCAGCCTAACATTGTATCAATTAAGCCCATATCTTTAATGGAGAATATTCGAGAAATCTTTTCTTTTATTTCGAGGACTTTCTTGGTGCTCTTTCCACAAACAATTAAATCGTCGACATAAACTCCAATAACAAGTTGTATGTTTGAATGGATATAGATACAATGGTCATATTCAGACTTCTTGGGGCCCAATAGTGTGAGCTTCGTATCAAGCTTCTTGTTCCATGCTCGGCCAGATTGCTTAAGACCGTATAAAGCTTTTTGGATCCTGACAAACTTGGTACCAGTCATTCCCTCTGGTCGGCTCATGAATATTTCTTCATTCAAGTCACCTTCAAGATATGCTGTCTTTACATCAATTTGATGTATTTCCCAGTCTCGAAATGCAGAAACAGCTAAAAGAATTCGTAAGAAGTCCATTCGTAATGTTGGTGCATATGTGTCAAAGAAGTCTATCCCAGGTACTTGACTGAAACCTTGAGCTACTAATCGCGCCTTAAACCTCCCATTAGTCTTGATAGAGAATACCCATCTTGAACCAACGGGCTTTCTTCCTTGTGGGACATGACTGATCGATTCGAAAACTCCCTTTTCTTCTAAAGACTGAAGTTCGTCATCGATAGCAGCTTTCCATTCTTTACCTTCCATCCCATCAACAGCCTCTAAATAGGATTGGGGTATCACAATTTCCTTTCGGACTTGCAGAGCGTGATCTCTCGGTGCCCAGGCAGATCTTGGCTGGATAGGTTTAGGGAAGCGATTGCTCCTCCTAAATCTCGGAACTTCTGCTTCAGGATTCAAATCTTGGGAATCAGTGATATTTTCACTTGGAATTTCTGGTTCTGATATTGATGTTGAATCTGAAACACTAGACTGTGGAGGGTTTGGTGGTGCGATATTGGTTTCAGGAGAAGAATCATTCTCCGAAATATCTTCGGTTTTATTTGGGGGTTTTGAAGGTAATACATGCATATCTAAAGTGTCAAAATTATTGGATGTTGGTTCGTTCCAATCCCAAAAAGAATCTTCAATAAATTTCACATTTGCCGACGTTATAACCTTATTAGGACCGGGTTTCGAAGGAATGTAGATTCGGTATTGAGTTGTTGACTCGCAATAACCGATAAATATGCCTCGTTGTGAGGTGGGCGTAAGTTTGAAGCGCTGTGGGTCCTTACTTTTGATTAATACATAACAAATACAACCCCAAACTTTCAGGTGAGAAATTTCTGGAGAGCGACCATTCATTAATTCGAAGAAGGTTAGTTTATCCTGGCGCATTGGTAATCTATTTCGCAAGTAACAGGCTGTAGTGACAGCAGCATCCCATAATCGACTTGGTAAATGGGCTTGAGAAAGCATACATCTTGCCATTGTTATAAGTGACCGATTTAATCTCTCTGCTACCCCATTTTGATGCTGCGTATATGGAGCGCTAATTTGCTGGGTTATTCCATTGAAGTCGATTGTTTTATATTCCGAACCACCGTCAAATCGCATTGCCTTAATGGTGCGCCCAGACTGCCGTTCTTTCTTTTCCTTGTAGAGTCGAAAGCAATTCGGAACATCCATCTTACTTTTCATCAGATGAACTTCACTTTCACGAGTGTAGTCATCAGTGAAGGTAATAAAGTATAAACTTCCATGTAAGCCAGGAATCATGCACTTACCCCAAGCATCGGAATGAATCAAGTCAAGAATACCAGAGGATAAAGGAACTGGGCCACGATTGATCTTTTCCACCTGTTTGCATGAGTTACATACATCACACGACTGCAACACCTTCTTTTTGATATTGAAATCTTGGATGTTCTTAGCCTTCAACCCTGATATCTCTATTTGTGACAGGTTTATTCTTTTTAAAATACCTGGACCGACATGAGCAAATCGACGGTGCAAAAGTTTGGTGGCTGACTCCTGTGCATCATGCGACAGTAATTTGATGGAACGACTTTGAAAATGTGAATGGGCAGTATAGGAGGAATAATTTGTATTGAAGCAAAATAATACTGTGACAGTCTAGCAGTAGCAATTGTAGATCCATTCCTTGATAACACACTGAGACCTCCGTTCACTGATTTAATGCCAAACCCCTTCGATAAAAGCTGAATACCAGAAACCAGGTTTCTCGTACATGATGGAACGTACAAAACATTATCCATAGTGATAACTTTACTGGAGCTCTTGTTCTCCAACTCGAATACCCTGAACTGAACCCTTCCAGTTCCGGAGACAGCGATTTTTCGGCCTGCGGCATCCATAACGGTTTTATTACTAGCAGATAATGAGATGAACATCGACTTGTCGTGAAATCTATGATTCGTTGCACCAGTATCGAGAACAACATCACTCTTTTTGGACCCGTTGATGGATATAAGTGCGTGCTCCTCCATCATCCACACACCAGAATCAGATGTATCATCACTACTAACATCTTCGGATTCTACCTTCCTGGGCTTATTTCGATTGGCAGCTTTGGCTCGCAATTTCCTAACCTTGGCAGGCTTAGTGGGGTTCTTAGCTGCCCATTTGGATCCATCTGGAGTATCAATCCAGTGAGAGCATTTCTCGCGCAAGTGGCCACGTCGTTTATTACTTTCAGAGCCATCGGCATTCGAATTAGATTCACCGACCACGGCCACAACTGGTGTCGGGTGAAGATCGCGATACACCGCTTGGGAAGCACGAATTGATGATATTGCAGATTGCAAAGAGATTGTTGGTTCCCGCAATGAAATGGTAATCGACATATAAAATCCTCCACACCATTTGACAAAGTGGGTTAGTATCCGTTTCTTCATGCTTGAATCGGAGGGCGCTGACATGCTGTTGATCAACCAAATTCTAGATCGGATTTCAGACAACTTTTGCACACATTCGTCGACATCAACGTCATCTTCAAACGCTAAACTCCAGTATTCCTGAAATAGTTCATCCACGTCTTCAGATGCGTTTGGACAGTAGAATTGTTTAAGATTATCCCAACAAGTTTTCGAAGAGTATGAAGAATGAACGAGGTAAAATGCTATGTCGGGTACAAGTTGGGATATGGCAACTCGTATATTCCTATCTTGTCTTGAGATAAGTAGGCCGATCTCTGTGCTTTTTGTATCCTGAGTCTCGAGCTCGACTTTTGTCTCCAGAATGTAACTTTCAATTTCAAATAGTGATAAAGTATCAAGAAAATGAGTGCTCCATCTATTGTATGTAGATTTCTCCAACTTTGGAGCACGCTTCATTGACTTCAGTATTTCCGCAGCAGACATCGTGAGATTAGGAGTATTGAAGTAGCGAGTCAAAAAATGAGGTATATTCGATCTAAGGACAACTTATCAATAAATTTAATCAGCTCAGTTGACTGGAGCGTTGGTCTCATAATCTGTTAGAAATTGTCAAGGATTTTTAGGAGGAAATATCTCGAAGAACAAGTGTACAATTTCGGACAAGAATTTATTGATAGTTGTATGTGATATCGAACTCTCTTCTCAATATGAATTAATAATGTGTAATACTCCGTTAACTTAGTTTAACACATACAAATAAGCCAATCCTTAAATACAGATCCCGAACTCCCAGTGATCTAGCTACAACCAGCCACTCAATTACCGCATGGTATCATTTCCTAGCCACTGCATTTCAGATACTACTGAACCTCGTTTCCCCTAGCTGAGCTTAATCGAATGCAATAGAAACAGGTAAATTGATCTTGATGATCAAACTAGAAATCTAAACCTTCATACATACGAAGTCTAGATTTCCAACAGGCTCCCACAGAGCAAATACTCTCCGAAAATCGAGCACGACCTTCGAGAATGGGCTGGAAGGAGGCTAGAAAGGCAGAGTGTGAGTTTCCCGCGGTAACCTCTGCAGCGCCCAGCTCGCCGACCTCTTCGCACGCTACAGAAGAGGAGCCGTGTTGTTGCGATTTCATAGTAAGAGGAGCAGAAAGTGTAGCTCATAGAATATTGTTTCCATCAAAGTTCTGATTTACATGTAAAACGCGAATTTATGTGCGCATATCCTAGAGTTAGAGTGGGTATGCAAACAACAATTATTACAGTGAAAAGTCTTCAGCACAGCCGACCACGAAACCATGGTGCGGGGAATAAAACAGTACTGACCCTGCACCATTAATGCCATCCTATTTGTCGCAAAGTAAACGTGACCATATCTCTCACTGCATTTGTATACAGTATCATATTACCCCGCACATGCAAATGCATGAGAAAACATCTCAACAGCGAAAAGAAATTAAAATGTAGAATACAGGATGTATTGTGCAGCATGTAGGATAGTTGTTCATATTTGCAAGGGATGCCGATTATCGTGAGAAATGTGGCAAATTCCAACACTTGTCTTTAGATTTGGTCCTCATGTAGGCACTAGGAGAGTCCCACATCCATTGGGCTTCGCGATTTTCCCCGGCTGCCATTCACACGCAAGTGGCCATCGTTTCGTTGGCTGGAGAGGGAGGATGACTAGGGGAAAATTGCGTCTCAAAGTGTAGGATCGAATGAGGTTTGGTCATATTTTATGGGAGATATACCGCATTAAGAAGGAAATAGACCATGCGCATAGATTTTATTGGCTTGTGGGTATGGTGGAACTATCTATCCGACTTAGTCCGAGACTCACAAAGGACAGTAACACCCAAAGCAGTGTAAAAAGTAAAGCCTAAATCTACTGCTCGCCATTCAAGTTAGAGTATCTCGTCCTATGTTAATCCGAGTCGCTGGCCAGGCTTGCTAGTGAGATATCGCTTCCATCAAAATCTTCTCGATGACAGCTATTGTATTGATGATTACTGTACCATACCATACCCAAAAGATTATCAAAATCATCCATCACCACCATATAACTACTGAAGTGTAGTGCTAATTGTGTTAGCTCATTTTACTCCAAGGGAAAATTTCCTTACGGCACCCATAAGGGGCATTGGCTTTAGTATCAGTGTGAGTCACATAACAGCCATTACGCCTATTGGAATCTTGGCGGATAGGAAATATATAACTATTAGGAAAGTCCGGATGGTTGAATTCTAAAGGATAGATCATCTGGTTAGCCTGTTTTTTCCTTTCCCATCGTTTTGATTGTTTGATGGTGTAGGCGTATGAAACTTGTGTTTTAGCTTGCGCAAGTGAAAATTCAGCTCCATTACAGAGGAAAAGGGCGTTTTTCCCATCGGAATTGACGAGAGCAGGCTGTAAGGCTAATATGCCAAAAAACGCAATGACCGAGGCAAGACTGATAGAGTTCATTTTGGGGTGTCGCGCTGGTGGATCAAAGATGCAAGAGGCTTTCTTGTAATGTAGCCTGATATGGAGGACTGATTTTGACTCTCTACTGCATGTGCGTGGATGGAGGGAAGCAGTTGCAAGGCGCGAGAATCGTATTTTCGGGGAGACGTAATCGGCGCAAGGGTGTAGATTGATACTGGGCCATTGCGAGAGGGGCCGACGTGGGCTCTCCCCGACTTTATGGTGGTGGAAATGCGCGGGTGATGGCCATGGTAGAGCTAGATACACACGACATGCTAGACCTCATGATGTTGGAAATTAGTAGGCGCGTCTCCACACACTCCTTCAATGCCTCGTGCTCTTTCATCGGCGGGAGGGATTCATGCACTTCAAACGTGATTGCGCACCACTTCTTCCGCCAAAATGCCTCGACTCCAGTTGAGCTTCGCAATCTGCGGCGAAAGGAATTGCCGCCATCATCCATGGTTGGAAGTGCCTGGGCCAGAGCTGCACGCATCGCTAGCGGCCTAACTCTGCATTTGTTTATTTACAGGGTATGAGACCAACCGGTGTCTTGGAATGCTTCAGAATAGTAGCACTACGTCTAGAAGACTGATGACGTTCTGTGGTTAGTCTGGGCCCAAAGAGCGTAGGGACTGGGGGAACGAGACTCGTAATTGTTGTAAATCCAATTAGCCTTGTACTCTCATAGCTATATATTCGCATCAACAACTAATTAAATAACTCTTCATCTTAATCTGTTCCGGGATCAATTGAAAGCCTTCCATACTTTTTACAGGTGACTCGACAAGATAACGCGAGACTCTCTATTTCCCACAGGTTTCAGTAGTTGTGACTTGATTTTCTTTGCTCTTACTTTCTCTCTTGCACGTCGATAGAACGCGCGAGTTGATATCCTCAACAAGAAAAGAGCTTTCACATCTTCTCAGATAATCAAGCAGCAATTTCCAGACTTCAAAATGCCTTGGATGATCCAGGACCAGACTGCCAGCTTGGAGCAGTAGTGGCTGCAGAGATTGTCAGGAGCAAGAAGCCGACCATTGAAAAAGATTGGATACCTGGATATTTACAGATACCAGGGAACGAAGAGGCGGAAAGATTAGCCAAGGAGGCCTCAAAGACTCCTGCGGGGAGTGAACAAGTCAGTCTTGCCTGGGTGCAATCTCAAACTCTAGTGTCATAGCTAGTTAAGCTGCATACACTTAATGATTTAAAAAAAAATCTCAAACTCAACATCAATCCAAACAATCATGGCCAAACCTTCTGCAATCCAATGGTAGTAGATGCCATTCCAATCCTTTGACCTTTGGAAAAAATTCAACTATAATTTGAAAATAAAAGGAGAGCTAGATGGTATGAGAGGGTGGTAACATGCGCCTTTTACCATTGTGCCATAGATTACTTTATTTACGCGGTTTATCTATAATACTACGCGTCGTGCCCGCGCACAGCACATGAGGAACTCACGTGCCGGTTAGCGCAGTCTAAATTAAACTACCCGACGTGTAGGCGCCCTCACAGACCCACCAAAGCAAACAATAGCTAGGATTTTATCATCCTACGCTCGAAGATTATAGTGTACATGAAGGTCGTCCGTCCAACGAATCTCATGCTATGCCGTTGGTACTTAATCAAGAAAAGATTTTACAAAACAAAATGAAAAATAAAAGAAGAAGATTGCTAACATCAGATCGTGATTTCGTTCGAATCAGACTGTTCGTTGTGCCCTTTCGAAGAAATCTCTGACAAGCACCCAATTATTGAATGCATCAACTCCCTCCGCCGAAGAAAGTGCCCAGGATACGCTGGGATTAGAGTTCTGTGCCCTGTGGAGCTGAGCTTGGTATTGCCCGAGGTGGCAATAGAAAAAGTGGTTAGGGGACTCCTCTTCTCCGCACGTGCAGGTTAGAATGGCGTTGTCATGCTGGAACCGTCGGTGGTAGTCCGCGAAGTCGCCATGACCGGACCGTGAAGCTAGTAGATATCCTAATGCGCGTCGCCCCAGACGAGCGAGCTCAACGGTGATTTTCGTATCAGGGCCAATTCCTAGTTCTTTGTATCTAGAAGAGACATTTTCTGCCCAATATAGTGCGACTGAAGCCTCGTATTGGGCTTTAACTTCTCTCCTTGCCCTCGCAATGGAGAGTTCTAAGTTTGGTGCCATAGGCTAATACTGAGATGCTGCGTTTAGTCTGGTCAACCAAGTCAGGTGCTTCCCCAGTGACATAGTCAATGTGTTGCAATGGTTACAATAATGTGATAGCAACAGTCACTAAGCAACATGGCAATCAGTTGCTAGGTTATACCTGTGGACTATCATACCTCTGATGGTGGTAGCCGCTCTAGGACTGGTTTTGTTCTGTAGCTTTTGGTCATGTAAATATTCTAGACTTTAGATTGATTCGATCATTATAAGTTTTACTCTATACCCCGACTCTGTCCCGTTCCGCCTTCGTCCCATTCCGATCACATCCTATCCCAACTACATTGATCCCGACTCCGACCCGTTCCGACCCGTGTCATCCGAACTAAGCCAACGACCCTGACACCGGACCACCTTGTGCAGAGCTGTAGTAAATATAGGCATGAAAGATAGAAGCTCAAACTAAATTTGAATTGAAATAATCTAAGCCGTAAATTACCCCTTCACACAAGTGTGAAGAATGAGAAGACTATCACTTTAATACGGTAAACAAACATATCAACAAGAAAATGGCACCAACAGAGGCTGTCAAGGGAGGTGGACGGAGAGGAATCAGCAAGAGATGAATCTGAAATTTGAGGTAAAGTGCTTGGGGGGGGTGGGAGATTAGGGCATGAGCCCCGACATCTATTAAAAAATATTAGATTACCAAATTTGAACATTAAAATCTTGGCCAGAATGAAGTTGGTAGATCTTGGAAGTTCTTCATGGTCTTAGACTCTGAGGGGACTATAATAGAATTCTCATCTCATCTCTTGCACGTCGTGTGATGTAGGAGAGGACCGTTCTCATGCTTGAGCAGAGTCTTGTACAAACCATGTAATTTACCATGGTTAATGCACGTTACTGTGTAATTAAACGGGCTTAGTGTGTAATGGATATACGGATATCATGGACCCAACTAGAAATCGACGGACAGAGATGATGGAATTAGACAGAAACTGATGGAGCCAGGGAGAACGAGACGGCCATTTCTCCGAGGAGAGAAATGATATGGCGATGGAGTATTCTTTTATTGGCTCGATTTACATGAGACAGCTCACACAGGAATACAAGTGTAGAAGGGGCCGAGGAAACTGTGATGAATGATAGAATATAGTAGAATTGATTGGTAAACTGAGAACAGGACCTCTTATCAGCTCCAGCCGCCTTTTATCTACCTTCAAGATCCCCACATCATCTATATACTCAATACCACATCTGGGCTCTGACGGCAAGCCAGATTAAATTACCACACTGTTACGCGCGCATCCATGTGCTTGTGGACGCGTAAGTGAGAGACATGCGACGGGCATCGACGTGGCGCTAGACTATAATCCGGCAAAACCAAACTACATTCCTTGCGGCGCCGGTATGCGTAGATGATAAAGGCTCTGAATTTCCTCTGGGTGGGTACTTGCGGAGGAGGGTCGACGGTTTGTCTGAGCAAGCACACCTCATAGTAGTATTTGCCAACGAAATCCAGAGTACAGTGTCTCCAACGTCAAAAATAGTCATCCAACATGTATACATAGCACCGGTCATGTGTCATGGCTAAGTAGCTGAATACACATTGAATGATTTTTTAAAACAACGGCGCTATACGAGACCCAGGTCAAGGCAACTTTCGTAAGTGTGGCAGACATTTGTATTAACCCATACTACCGAGACAGTGGCCTGTAATTTGGGATAAAGTTCTTGCCGGCAGTGGCGTAGTTTACCTCAAATATTCTTCTACCAGGCCGTGGGCAACACAGTAAGTCTGGAACATCTCACAAGGACGTCTCAAGCCTTGTTCATTCTCTCAACCATGTTTCCTCTCTAACTATAAATGCAAGTCTTACAACTAGAGCTCATACCATGGAGATTAACGAGAGCTACGGTGAACACAACTTCCCCAAAAGTATCCATGGTCTTGCTCCCAAATAGCCTAATTAATATACTTCAAGCACAGCGTGGCAGGAGCCTGGCCCTGGCCGAGAGGACCAACATGTCAAATGTGCCCATAAACCGAGAAAGGACAAAAACACACATGAAGAGGCTCTAGCTTGATTTTGGTCCCGTCGGGCCATGTTGTCGAATTATGAGTGGTGCTAGCCTAGCGGGCGCAAGAGCGAGTTTATTCTGTTACTGACCATCCAAGTCTAAGATTGTGTAGGACATGTTGGCCCTATCTGCCTACCGGCCAAGGGTACCTGTCGAGTAGTGTATCTCCTATGATTCCCATACAGCGCGACTCAAATGGCCAAGTCCTCATGAGCTCAGTGTCTGAGCCGACCGTTGTTACGGGATCAATATCCCGGAGTTGTACTATCTGTGACAGTACGGTAGGGATTGAGTCTGGTGGTAAGCTAGCTACAGGAACCACTAATTTTGCAATCTACACACGATTGCTTAGCAGAACAGGTTCTTAGATGTATGAATATAATCCATTTATATGCTTTTTGAGTTCACACTTAGGACTGTGACGGTTGGTAAACCGAGTAATGCCTGTAGTCTGCGCTGGCTGGCGCAGATATTCCTCGACTTCTAACCATACTTCATGGGAACATTCTTGTAGGTTCTTGGATATGCTTCGTATATCTTTCTGGTGAGAGATTCGAGACTGGACCAGAGATGATCGGGAATCATGTAGAATAGGTGCAAAACTTTCAGCAACAAAGACTTCCAGAGACTAGCTGGAACTATCAGGAATGAAATGCAAACTCTCGAATGACCCGGGGACTTAATCTTTCACCTATTACCTTGGAAACAATGACTAATTATGTCGGTGAGTAATCAGTTACCCGGTTAGGAATGGCGTTAGGAGAGAGGCTTAACAACTGTAGATACATGTTTCTTAGAGAGGAATAGGCAAGAATAAAGATACATGTTAACCACCAATCGTTAACACTGCCATATAAAGCTTACGATACAAATACCAGCTACGCTCACTTGGAGGACCCTTCTCAAGGGGACTCGTTACGGAGATATATGCAGGTCTGTGTGTTTGGTTGATTATTACGTAACTAATCTGTTACTTACAATACACAATAAAAAGGCATACTGGATGACT